CCGGTTTGGAATTCCCCGCTCAATTGTCTCAGACAATGGCAGACAATTTGATAACAAGAAGGTTAGAGAATTATGCGAAGAGCCCGACATAAAGAAGCACTTCTTCACACCTCACCACCCACAAGCAAATGGCCAAGTTGAGGCCGTGAACAAGACGATCAAGCACGTCTTGAAAAAGAAGCTTGATGTATCAAAAGGGGCCTGGGTTGATGAGCTGCCCCAAGTCCTTTGGTTGATCTGAACCATCACCAGGACTCCAACAGGAGAAACCCCCTTCCTCATGGCATTTGGAATAGAGGCTATGAGCCCCGTGGAGGTCGGGCTTCCATCCCCAAGACGTCTGCACTTCAGCGAGATAACTAACGACGAGCTTCAGAGGCTCGACGTCGACTTCATCGAAGAAAGAAGAGATGACTCCCAATTGAAACTCGGCACATATCAGAGAAAGATGACAAGGTACTTCAACTCGAAAGTCAAGAAGAGGTCATTCCGAATCAACGACCTTGTGCTTAGGAAGAACCTGGTTCCGGTTCCCTCAGCCCAAATTGGGAAGGTCTATACAAAATCAGAGAAGAGGTTTGACCTAGGACTTACTGGATTAAAGACATGAACGGCAAGGAACAACCCCGTCCATGGAACATTGAACACCTCAGAATCTATTACCAATAAATATACTATCTTGCTGGATGACCTTTCCCAGCTCTTGTAACATTTTCATGGTTCAATAAAATTCAGTGATTAAATTAACTTGTTGTATTACCTCGACACCTCGGAGGAAAGGCTCGCGCCCCACCTCTGGGCCACCTCGCTTGAACTCCGAAATGCTAGCACATGCCTCCCTTTGGCCAGGCTGAACGCCAAGGGGAGAAGCCTCAACATGGCTGCACTATCCACCATGTCTGGGATGCGTCGTCACCTCGGAGGAGAGGCTCGCGCCCCAACTCTGGGCCACCTCGCTTGAACTCCGAGGCGCTGACACATGCCTCCTTTTGGCCAGGCTAAACGCCAACAGGAGAAGCCACCTCACGTGCATTCCGAAGTCCATACAGTTATGCTTAAATAAAGTTCATTTGCTTAAACTCGAGGCTCGCTTAAGTCCGAGGCTCACACAGTTGTGCTTAAGTAAAATTCATTTGCTTAAGTCCGAGGCTCATACAGTTGTTCATTTGCTTAAGTCCGAGGCTCATACAGTCATTATGCTTAAGTAAAGCTCATTTGCTTAAGTTCTAGGCTCATACAGTTGTTCAATCCAGTTGTTTAAAGTGATTGAAGTTAAGGTACCAAGTTAAAGTTATTTAGTTAGTGCTTCTATCAACTTTTAAGTTCATTTGTTTAACGAGACGCGTACACTTGGACAAAGAAACAACAATGAATCAAAAATGCATCATATTGATCTTCAATAAAGATTACAAAGGTGGGCCTCAGGCCATTACATTCAAAAGACTGAAAAGAAAACTAATCTAAGCTTGGGTAGATGGGGGAGGTGCTTCTGTACTTGGGGCTTCAACAGCTTGAGCATCGGCATTTGTCTCCCCTGTCTCAGCTGCTTCATTACCCTGCACGTCCTCAGCAGGGGTCTGAGGTACCTCATCCACGAATTCAAACCTGAGTTGAGTCAGATCCAAATTGGGATACAGTTCCTCTGCCCGCTCCATCACCTCAGCATAGGCAAAGTTTCTCCAGTACGCACTGAAACTCTTATACTCGTCTATGTTGTGGAAGTGGGCAACGTACTCCTGCACCGCCTCTTCCCTCGCCTGTTGGGCCTCCTCTCTGGCATGGGATGTATTATCCACATACCACTTGATTTGGGTTTCCAAGAAATGGTAAGTTTCTTGGGCAACCGTCAAAGAGAGATTTGCCTTCTCCAGGGCCTCGATGGTCACCTTCTGGTGCTCATTGGAGACCTCCACCTTCTTTGTAAGGGAGGCTACCTCGCACTGTGACTCGTGGACCTCCTTCTTCAAGGCTCAATCTGGACTAAGGCAGACTCCAGCTTGGCCATTTCTTAGATTTTTTGGGCCTTGGCTTCTTCCACCTCGGCCCTAGCCGCCTTCAACTCCTCTGCAAGGGAGGCCGTCTTCTCCTCCGAAGACTTGGTCCTTGTCTGAAAATCACTCAGGGCCTCCCTGCATTCAAGAGCGAGGCCAAAAGTCCTGATACTTTGGCTTACCAACGCCCTCGTTAGGTCGGTGGCATCGCAGGAGGAGGCATGCAACTGTCACCTGTCCGTCCAGAAACGGTAAAAGTTCTTCGTGGCGCTTCGGACCTCCTGGGGAAGAGCCTCCACCAAGGCTGGGGCCAAGGTCTCCTCCCTTCCATTTAGGAAGCTCGGAGACTTCCCCTTTTCCCGAACAGGCTTTTGTTTAGCTGCCTCCTCCTCGACAGCCTCAGCAGCCCTCCTCGCAGCCTCCTCCTTAGCCTCCTCAGCCTCAGCCTCTCTGACCATTTCTAACTTGATGGCTTTGGAGGCAAATGCAAGCAGCTTTGGCTCGCCTGTTGATTTGGCCTCGCACCAGCTTCCTCTTCTTAGTCTCCTCAGAGACTTTCTCCTTGCCCCGTGGCTCCTTCGGCTTCTCTGGCCTCTGAGTAGTTGCCTCCTCCGAGGCCCTGGGGGTGCAGTCCTTCGACAGGCGCTCAACCCTGCCTCGGACTTCTTTTGCTCCACTGGACCCGAGCTTCAGGGGCCTCGCCATTGCAATAGAAGTGGCCTTCAAGATGGAGGCCATGTCCGGAGCTGGGTACTCCCTCTTCTTGAATTTGTCTGCACAACATGTCAGATTAGCATCAGCGTAAGAAATATTAAGGATAAAAACATCAAGTGTTGGGGCCTCATACCTCTGGAGGCCATCAGCTCGAAGTCCAAGAAGTATCTGCTTCTATCAATCAAGTGATCGAAATGCCGAAACTTCAGAGGCCTCTTGTATATGTCCTCTATCGCCTCGAATTCTTCCCTGCTGAGCTTGAACCTCATACTACTATCTGCAAAGGAACCTCCATCAGTTAGAAGAATTCATATTCTGACTACAAAAGATAAGCAGAGGTTGGGAGACTCACGAGCTTCGTAGTACTGGGTCGGCACTGTGCATGATAGGGCTTTGTCACCCTCCACTGCCTGCCATTTACCTCGCACCCAGAACCAAGACTCCTTCCACCCCTTGATAGAGGAAGGAAGTCCCACCACAAAAGGTGCGTGAGCCCCCTAAGGCGTGAGGTAGTACCACCCTTTATGCTCCTTCCCAATCACCCGAGGCTGGAACAGGGTCATAAATACATAGAGAGGCATGTCCTCCCCAAGTGACACCTCCTTCCATAGGAAGTACGAGCCGACCAACTGGCTCCACCCATTTGGCAGAACCTGGGTCAACGACAACATAAAGTTCCTTAGCACTGCCCTAAAGAAGGGGTACAGAGGAAAATGCATACCGGCCTTAAACAAGTATTCACTGACTGCCACGCATCCGGACCTCGGATAGCAGGCTCGCTCATTTGGCTCGAGTACTAGCATTTCTATGGTATGGGGGACACTGTATCTTTCCCTGATCTCTCCTAACCTTTTCCACGTCATACTTGAGGGCACCCTAGACGCACCCCACGCTTCAGTATAATCTACTGGGTCCTTGGTCATGGCATAACTATCAGCCTCAGCATCCCCCCTCTGACTGACCTCATAATCTAACGACGCAACCGTCACCAACTCCCTACCCGAGATGGACTCCATCTCACAGAATCAATGCAACAAAAAAGAGATTCTTCTGCAAATGATACCTAAGGGAAGAACACTACGCGAACGGAGATAAGCCGAAAAATCAAAAAACGAGTAGCCTTGACGACGGAAAGATTCAAGAATTTGAGAGAGAATCAAATTGAAAAGTTTCAAAAGTCCTAAAAAATGGGATTCTCTTACCTTTTATAGAGGTCTAGGACGAGCCCCAGCCGTCAGATCGAATCTCAGTCAATTTGAACCCTCCATTGAAGAACAAATCCGAGGCGTTGAATTCAAATGGTTTTTCAAACCTACGCCTCAGATTCAAGCGTACATCCCAGTCACCCCGTCCTCAGATTCAAGCGTCTGCTTCTAGAACCTCCAGCTATCCTCATAATTGTATTTTTAATTCGACGGCAGCAAGCGCCTTGGAAGTCGTACGGGTCTGCCATATTTTCCTCGAAAACAAGCACAAAATATCAAATCATTGGCACAGCCATCGAGGCATAATCATTACCATTGAACCTCGGCTTCAACTTCAACATTCAGCCATCAAGCCTCGCAGGTTCAGTTTCCCAACCACCTCGGCTTCAACTTCAACATTCAGCCATCAAGCCCCGCAGTTCGATTTCCCAACCACCTTGGCTTCAACTTCAACATTCAGCCATCAAGTTTCGCAGGTTTGGTTTCTCAAACCACCTTATTTTCGTCTTCAATTTCAACACATTTCTAATTCCAACTCTAATATAAATATATACACTTCGACTTCGGGGACTATTATTTGGAGTTCAAAAAATTCTTTCAATTTTTACTTCATTAAAGTCCACGCATTACATAAATGACCATACTTGGACTTGAGGGACTATTGTTGCGTGTTGTCACACTTGGCCAATCCACCTGGACCAATGGCCCACTCAGGCCGAACCACGTGGCACTCCGGCGAAGGTGGGCAATGGTCGAAGCCCTTCAGGCCGAAGTCCAACAGTCGAGGCGCCTTTCACCGAAGTCATGATGCTAAAGCTAGTTGAAGGTAGCTGAAGCCCTCAAGCGGAAGTATTGTGTGAATGGCCGAAGCCCCGAAACTGATGCAGGAGCCTCCGAAGAACAGGGAAGTGTCCTCCATGTTCACTTCTCCCAAGAAATCGTCTGTACAAAGATCTCATTTGAATGATTGATGAAATATTTGTCATAAGCATAAAGGTCAAGTCTTGTCACTAGCACGGAGGCTCTGCACAAGCAATATTTACACGGTGCATTAAAATTTGACAAACTTGTAAGCAGGAGTACTCAAGGGACCAAGTGTAACTATGATAATGTACCGTGTACGATTTTTCCTTTGAGGCTTTGCTCGAGACGCGAGACGCGAGAGAGAGAGGAGAGAATGAAAAAATCTATACCATACGAACAGAGTTCGGAACAGGCCCAAGCTGTTACGGAGTCCGCACTCTTTTAGTCTACATCTCTAAATTTTCTGCAAGGTAATTGATATTCTACCCTATACTACTACGTTCTTGCGCTTCTTAGCTAACATTTTGATCTGCATATTTATATAAAATTTATCTAAATTTTTCTTATAAATACACAGAAAAAGTAATTTCTTTCTTGTTGCGGGGACTGGTAGAAAGTAATTGGAAATCAATTGCTGAAACTGGGCCAATGGAATCATTTGACGGATAATTCTCAAAATTGGGAAAAAGTTAATGGATTGCTTCTCTATATTTTGATTACGTTGTCATTTTCTGAAAATTTTCAGCTGTCGAATTAGAGTATGCTAAAAAGATCAAATTTTTGGATACGTACATGGGAAAAACTACAGTGGTTGCGCAGGACTCCTACTTTTCCTTTTTCTACCTGTGGGAAAAATGGAAGTTTCAGTGATGGAACAGAGTCTGAGACTGAATGGGAAAGATTACTTAAGCCATTTGACCTAATAGAACTCCGAAAATCACTCAATAAAATTTCTCCATTTCAGCTTAATAAATTGCTGGAGCTCCCACTGGATGTGTCAACATCGATGGAGTTGTTTCAGTGGGCCGGTGCCCAGAAGGGCTATTGCCATTCGTTTGATGTCTACTATACTTTGATTGATAAAGCTGGGGCTGCTGGGGATTTTAAGATCATTGATAGGTTATTAATGCAGATGAAAGAAGAAGGGATAGTTTTTACAGAGTCTCTTTTCATTATGATTATGAGGCACTATGGAAGAGGTGGTTTGCCTGGGCAAGCAACCAGGTGGCTTTTGGATATGAGGACTACATTCTCTTGTGAACCTACATTTAAGTCTTATAATGTTGTGTTGGATATTCTGCTGGCAGGGAACTGTCCAAAAGTTGCTCCAAATGTTGTTTATGAGATGTTGAGCAAGGGCATCTCCCCTACTGTTTTTACTTTTGCTAGAGTAATGAAAGCACTTTGTAAAGTGAAAGAGGTTGATTCTGCATGCTCCCTCCTCAGAGACATGACGAAATATGGATGTGTGCCGAATTCAATAGTTTATCAGACACTTATACACGCTCTATCTGAGACCAACAGAGTGAATGAAGCTTTGAAACTTTTGGAAGAGATGTTTCTCATGAGTTGCTTACCAGATGTCAATACATTCAACGACGTCATAATTGGTCTTTGTGGTGCTGATCGTGTTCATGAGGCCGCCAAATTGGTAGATAGGATGCTTATTCGAGGGTTTGCCCCTGATGCTATAACTTATGGAGTTTTAATGCAAGGGCTATGTAAAACAGGTCAGGTGGACGAAGCAAGGGCACTGCTGATGAAAGTGCCCTATCCTAATGTTATCCTGTTTAATACTTTGATTAATGGCTATGTCACACACGGTCGATTTGACGAAGCAAAATCTATATTAAACAAGAACATGTTTGGTACTGGCTGTCAGCCAGATGTTTATACTTTTAATATACTTCTTCGTGGGCTTTGCAAGAAAGGATTCTTTGCCTCAGCTCACCAAGTGGTGGAGGAGATGTCATCTTATGGTTGTGAGCCAAACGTTATCACCTACACCATTTTGATTGATGGCTTCTGCAAGGAAGGCCGGTTGGAAGAAGCCAATGACATTATGGACGAAATGTCATCCAAAGGTCTCTGCCTAAATACGGTGGGATATAACTGTCTATTATCTGCCTTCTGCAAGGACAATAAGATACATGAGGCGATGGAAATCTTTAGTGATATGCCCAGCAAAGGATGTAAGCCTGACATATTCACGTTCAATTCTTTGATAAATGGGCTTTGCAAAATTGATAAGATGGAAGAGGCACTTCGCTTGTACCGAGATATGTTCACAGAGGGAGTTATAGCGAATACTGTAACATATAACACATTGATTCATTCTTTCCTGAGGAAAGGTGCAATTCAAGAAGCATTTAAGCTAGTTAACGATATGTTATTCAGAGGATGTCCCCTTGATGACTTCACTTACACTGGACTTATAAAAGCACTGTGCCAAGATGGGGCAATAGAAAAGGCTGTGGGTCTCTTTGAAGAAATGTTGAGAAAGGGGCTGAATCCTAATACTAAATCATGCAATATTTTGATTAATGGCTTATGCAAAGCTGGGAAGGTACAAAATGCCCTTGAATATTTGAGAGAGATGCTTCATCGAGGATTAAAACCCGATATAGTCTCATATAACAGTCTTATAAGTGGTTTATGCAAGACAGGACGTGTTGAGGAAGCTCTTAATCTCTTTGACAAATTACAAAGTCAAGGTGTCTGTCCAGATGCTGTCACTTATAACATCTTGATAGGTTCTTACTGTAAAATGGGCATGCTTGAGGAGGCATATGCACTTTTAACTAGAGGTGTGTCCCATGGATTGACACCAGATAATGTAACATGGCACATACTAGTCACCAATTTGTTGAAAAGGGTAATGAGGAGAGGTTAAATGATTGCCTTGTCTATATTAGGTCAGTATACACTTGTTTTCTTCAATTTAAATGCCTCTACTCAATAACCTGTTTCATGTCAACTGTATCAAGAATGAAATCATTTCTCGCTCTCTCTCCAACATTTTCTAGTTGTGCCACTACTTTTTCCTGCTATTCCACTCTCAGCAATCCATTATTTTATGCAAAACCTACAGACACATGCTTGCTGCTAAATCTCTCCAAAGCCCTAATTTTTTATCCTGAATTTCTGTGAAGCATTTCCTAGTGAACTGTGCAAATCCCTCAAATTGTAATTGAATTTGAAGCTTGCACGCCGCTTTGAGGTCGGGTGAAATTCACGTGATTGTGGGTCCAATGTTAACCAGCAAGACCACAGATCTTCTCAGGAGAATTAAGCTCGAGAGCAGTAATGGCAGGTTGGCAGATTGTTACTCTCTTTCTTTTTCTTTTTTTTTTAATGAGTTATTTGGGGTTTAGTCGATATGTTTTGACGATAATGCTCTATTGTAGTTCTAAAAAGAATCTTATCTTTATTTTACACTGTAATTTATTTTCGCATTAGTTGAGATGATAAATTTGATTAATTATGAGTCTTGAATGATGAAATTGATGGTATATGTCTTCTACACGCTGTTCGGAATTTGGATGATATCAA